TGCGTCAAACCCTCCTTTGCAAACGAGTGTGTTTTATAATGTTACTTCATGTAAAACTTTCACAGAAGATGGCTTGAAAAACTCTCAAGTGTGCACATCCACAAAAAGGTTTAATGTAATTATCGAGCTTGAAAGATGTAATGTGAGAGATGATGATGCAGATAGTCTGACTTGTGACGCAGTCTGGAATCATAAATCACACTATTCGTTCATTTAGCAGAGGAGAACTGGCTGTTTTTTTTCCCCCTCAATTTCATTGACATGATGGAGACCGATTACTCGATCCAATCACGTTGATGGATAAAAAATAATAAAAAAAACTAGAATGTACATTTCCAGAGGAAAATGTGAAGTGGTGCTTGCAGTGGCAAAACTCACCACCCGGTTGCTAGGGTGTTCTGGGAGGTTGCTAGTTGGTTGTCAGGGTATTCTGGGTGGTTGCTATGCAGTTGCTAGGGTATTATGGGTGGTTGCCAATGTGTTCTGGGTAGTTGCTAAGGTGTTGCTAGGTGGTTGCTAGGGTGTTCTGGGTGGTTGCTAGGGTGTTGCTAGGTTGTTAGTAGGCGGTTGTTAGGGTGTTCTGGATGGTTGCTAGGTGGTTGCTAGGGTGTTTCTAAGGTGTTCTGGAAGGTTGCTAGGCAGTTGCTAGGGTGTTGCTCGGTGGTTGCTAAGGTGTTGCTAGGTGGTTGCTAGGGTGTTGCTAGGCGGTTGCTAGGGTGTTCTGGGTGGTTGCTAGGGTGTTGCTAGGTGGTTGCTAGGGTATTGCAAGGTGGTTGCTAGGGTGTTCTGGGTGGTTGCTAGGGTGTTGCTAGGTGGTTGCTAGGGTGTTGCTAAGGTGTTCTGGATGGTTGCTAGGCGGTTGCTAGGGTGTTGCTCGGTGGTTGCTATGGTGTTGCTAGGTGGTTGCTAGGGTGTTCTGGGTGGTTGCTAAGGTGTTGCTAGGTGGTTGCTATGGTGTTTGGGGTGGTTGCTAGGGTGTTGCTAGGTGGTTGCTAGGGTGTTGCTAAGGTGTTCTGGATAGTTTCTAGGTGGTTGCTAGGGTGTTGCTATGCGGTTGCTAGGGTGTTCTGGGTGGTTGCTATGGTGTTGTTAGGTTGTTGCTAGGGTATTCTGGGTAGTTGCTATGGTATTACTAGGTGGTTGGTAGTGTTCACATATGGTTATTATAGAGTTTTTATATTGTTCATGGCATGATTTAGCACTTAGCTAATCAATATTAGCATGTAGCTATTCACAGCTAGCATGTTTAGCATTTTGAAAGTTCTATGTGCTAGCATGAGTCAAAAGACCCAACCCCCATCGTGATACAATGTTCTGATGCTGAGATATAGCTGTTACAAAATGGTTGCTAGGGTACTCTGTTTGGTTGCTAGGGAGTGGCTTGGCAGCTTCCAATCATGAAGCTCCAAAGTCAATGTGAATGTATAAACCAACCCCCATCTCTATACGATGTTCTGATAAAGAGATGTAGGCCTTGCAAAATGGTTGCTAGGGTACTCTTTTTGGTTGCTAGGGAGTGGCTTGGCAGCTGCCAATCATGAATCTCCAAAGGCTGCTTGTCAGTATAATTGATATAATACAACTCCCAAGCCTGTATGACATTCAGAATGGAAGATATCCCTCTTTAAAATTTGGTTGCTAAGGTGCTCGATAATGGTTGCTAGGGTGTGGCCAGAAATTGTTGAGGTGATTCATGATTGGCTGTTTGCTACCCCGAGTCAAACGAGACCACCCTTGTGTTTCTATGACACTTCTATCCGGAGATATCCCTTTGATCTCTTTCAATGGAAGTCTATGGGAGTTGTTGCTAAGGTGCTCTATATGGTTGCTAGGGCGTGGCTTAATAGCTTCACAATGATCCCGAGAGACTGATTGGTCATCTGAGTAAAATGAGCCTGCCCCCTTGTCTCTATGACACTGTGATCCAGAGCTATGTTTAATACAAAATCCCAATGCAATTTACCATAGTAGGAAAAACACTAAAAGTCTATGGGACTTTTTTACCCAATGATTTGCCCCTGGGGCGAACACCGTACCCCCGATCGCTACGAAAAGTCACAGCACACCTCTCCTCAATAATCCTCAAAATTTGACGCCTCAATCAGGGGTCTGTGATGTCGGCGTGTATTTTTTAACAGATGATTACTATTTAGTCTCTAAAATTAGTTTTTATAGAGTTTTTATAGAGTTATTTAGTATGGCACGAGGCCGCAGGCCTCGTGCCTATCGCCCACGGTTGCTAGGGTGCTGTAACTGGTTGCTATGGTGTGACCATGAAGATTTTAGGCCATTATTTATTGGTTGCCTGATAAAATAAATCCTCCTAGGGAGAGAGAGATGTCTGCACTACAGCAGGGCTGTCAGGCCCTTTTGTGTCTGTGAGAAAGTGACAGTTGGGATTTGAATTTTTGAAAATCCCCCAATGTTTAGTCAAAATCGCTGATACTTGGCCTCGAACAAACCTCCCTAGAGACAAAACTATAGGTTGTATCAGCGAAATGACCTGACCGTTAGCGAGACAAGGCCTTTGTGATCGCTGTGATGTATTTTTTGTGTGGATAGAGTTGAAAAAAGGGACCACTTTGGCAAGTTAAAAAACTGGTCCGTAATGCTCTGATTACTAAAGTTTGACCTGAATTTATAATTGCTGCCAATGGAGGATCGTCGGTCACTCCTGTCGTTTGGAAGGACACAGAGAAAAAACTATAAGTCCGAGGGATTTACTAAACACACGAGAGGAACCACAACAAAAATACCTACGTTTTAAGTATAATTTCATGGCCAAAGAGTGAAGATTGTGGCCAGGCCAGCGATTTAAAAATTATTTTTTAGCATTAGTTTTCAAGCTGGCTCACTCTAGCTTATGACATCACGTGCTCTAGCTCTGAACAGTCTCTCTCATTGACTCCCATTATAATTTCAGAAACGGCTTGAAAAACATCATGAGACTAAAGTAGAGATTGTGAAAAAAGTATAATAGATATCAAAAAGTTGAATACAACTTTTATAGCTTACAAATTTCTCAACATTTTAAAGTTTTAATGGCTGAAATAGCTGTCAAAATAGGGCTGTCAGGCCCCTTTTTGTTTCTGTGAGAAAGTGACAGTTGGGATTAGAATTTTTGAAAATTCCCCATAGGAAATGACTTGGGACATTTTTGGCCGCTTTTTCGTCCGCTGTGCGAACATCGTACACCCGATCTCTTAGAAAAGTCATAGCACACCATTCCCGAACAAGCCGCACGTTTTGACACCTCTCTTATGGGTCTGTGACAAAAGCTGCGGGAGGAGTAGCGCGCCGAAATTTGTACGGAATAAGAAGAAGAAGTAGCGGAATAATAATAAGTATGCAGGATAACAATAGTGTTGCTTTGCAAGCACCACTAATAATAATTTGCCTCAAAAAAGCAAACCGCCAACATGCCTGAACACACCTCGTTTTCAGACCAGCACACCCATGAGCGCACAAATGGGTGCCCATAATTGATGAATTTTGCAATCTTGACATTGTTATTGAACTGAATTGAATGAACATTGAACTGACTTGAGATGACTAATGACATTATTGCCTTCTGTAGAGGTGCTTATTGCTGAATTGAACTTTTTCATAATTGATTAACTTTATACACTTATTGAACTGAACTAGCACTAAAATGACTTGAGCTGAATAATGACACTACTGTCTTTTTAGAGCTGGTTTAGAAGTTAGAATTTGAATTTGTCTAATATTTGATGAATTTTGCATCATTAGCCCCTTTCACACAGAGATTCCAGAAAATACACGAATAAAGTGACCCTGCATTTGTCCTGGGATTGTTTGATTTCGGTTCATTCACACTGCCAGTGATTTGCCGGGATCTGTGAGTGCGTCATGGAAAGACACATGACGTCAGGATGAGACGTGTAACGTACGCGTTGAAAACATGTACACGCGCATACCGCTCCACAAAGCTGGTGAACGATCTCAGCTTCAACACGGATAGTGAGGAGAACACAAACGTTCTAAGAGCAACAGAGTCACGCGATGGCACGAGCGTCATCACTATGACACACCCCTTACGGCATTGGTCCTGGCTTTTGTTCACACAGCGCGCGTTCCGGGACTGATTCAGGCAATGTTACTAGGTCCCCAACCCGGCATCGATGCCGGTATCAATCCCGGGTGTTTGTGTTCACACAGAAAGCAATTTCCCGGGATCTACGCGCTGTGTGAAAGGGGCTATACAGTCTTTACTGGTAAATTACTGGCAACAGATCATATGTGAAGAAGATTTTTTCAAATATACTGGTATAGGTTCCAGCAATTTTCCAGTAAAGGAAGTTGTAACAAGGTTTATTTACTGTGTGAAAACGGAATGAAGATTGCCGGTACTTTGCTCGTACGAGGTCAGAACACGCTGACATAAGAAGTGTTCTGGGCCAATCAGAAGCCGTTGAAAAAGCAACTGATGCGTGAATGGTATGTCACGAATAAAAAGCCAGAATGCTCTTGTTTGTGTGAACAGCACATTTTTTTTATTTACCGGTAATGCCGTTCTGGCAATTTTACAGTAATTTAGCAGGATTGCTGTGTGAAAGGGCTATTGATTCTGCTATTTTCCTGTTTATTACTGTGAAACAATCTATATTTGCAACCCCTCCGGTTCTACTCGCACCGCTGTGAGTGGGATCCGAACCGGCATAGCACAGGGGCGCAAAGAAAGACGTTCTAGATCGCAGCCTCTAGCGTCAGTCAGTCACTAGTCCGACTCTTGAGAGCTGGGGGGTGAGGCTCACTCACACAGCTCTTAATAGCTGTCCTCTTTTACACTCACCCCCCTAAACCTCACTCCCATCCGGGTCACGGCACCAACGTAACCTCCAGGAGGCAGCCGTGCTAACAAGGACACTAAAGACCGAAGCGTCTAGCGTCAGTTGCTAGCAGGCCTCCGTTAAATATTGCATAAAGTGCTACATAAATAAATGTGACTTGACTTGACAGTCTGTCTATGTGTCTTTCAGCTAATGGGCAGTGGAACGCATGGGCTCCATGGAGTGGGTGTTCTAAGTCCTGTGACGGTGGTTGGCAGCGGAGGGTACGCGTATGCCAGGGGCTGGCGGTCACAGGGCAGCCATGCGATGGCAGTGGGGAGGAGGTCCGCAGATGCAGCGAGCAGCGTTGCCCAGGTAACCCTGTGAATAATTGAGCCCCAAGAGTCAATTATGTCAAAATGGACAGATAGAGGTGAATGAGAGATGGATGCAGGGATAATTATATTTTACTTGTCCATTTCTGCGGTGGAAATAATGAATGTACACCATAATTGTATGTTTTGGCCAGGAATGATCAACACAAAAATAACCAGTAATGGGTATTTTATGTCACATAAATGATTTAAACCTCATATCTGGATGTATTAAGCTGTCTCCATGGAAACAGTGCTTTATGCTCATGCATGTATTTTCATACACTCATAGGTAAGTTACATGATCAGTTATATAAATTCCTGATGGAGGCCTAATTGTTTGTGCATATTTTACTGAATTTATCATTCTTATATTCTTTAATGCTTACAAATTATTTCTGCAGACAAATATAAATCTTTACATCATGATCTGACATTTTATGTTTGATTTAAATCCCCAATGTAATGTAACACACTACTAAAAATAAAGGTTCCAAAATTATTTTATTTCATTTTATTATTATTGTTATTTTTTTATGCAGTGATGCCATAGAAGAAACAGGTTAAATGTTCTATGGACCATGAAATACAGTAAAAAATATTTAGTTTTAATATCACAATATAATAATAATAATAATGATCATGTAATAACACATTTATTAATTTTTGTTATAAATAAATGTTAATGTACATTAGAGGTACATTAAATTCAGTATTTTATATTTGTACTTATATTATATTGTAGGAATCCCTGCACATCTCATCCAGACAAATACATATAGACTATATTGTGGTCATAACTAAGAATTCGTTCCCACAACGTATTAATTCATTCCCATCATGTCCAGAGCTGTGAAGTCCAGGTTCAGAAAGTAAAAGTCCTCCTGAGTATTTTGTTCCAATCACCTGGATATGCTAATTAGCCCAGTTTTTCAGCCAGGAGATTAGTGAAAGAGAACTAATTAGTGAAATCAGCTGGCTGAGTTCATGGGTGGAATAAACATATGGCAGGACTTTTACTTTCTGACCCCTGGACTTTACATCTCTGATCGTGGCCTGGACTACATCGTTCCCTCGTTTTGATGTAACTAAAACGAGGGAACGAATTATTATATGGTCCTCATGATTTATGAACATATTAGTAAGTAGCAGGAATGAATTGTTTAATACGCCACGATATAAATATTTTTCTTGCATTTCATGTGCAGCGCTCTGTAATATTTCAGCAATTATACAACCGTAAATTCTGATCCCTTTCCCCATCGTCCACCATTATGCACTCGTCTCTCAAATCTCCAATGAAACAGTGTGTCTTCGTGTGTCTAAATGTCTATATTTATTCCCGACCCCATAGCTCCTTATGAAATATGCCCGGAGGACTATGCTGTGTCCATGCTGTGGAGAAGAACTCCCTCTGGGGAACTGGCCTTCAACAGGTGTCCGCCCAACGCAACGGGTAAGAAGCCACCAGAAGATTGCTCAGCCACAAATATAGTCACAGACGCTTTCAAAAAGAACACTTGTGCTTTTTTGCTCTGCTTTTCCTTTGCAGTGCATTTAGTTCAGTGATGTTGAAATTATTCATAAATTCAGAAGGCTACGATGACAAATGTTTCTGACTAGTGTGTTCAGCACTGCTGCGACTGCCTTTAAATGGCTTATGCTGTGTGTACCTAGAGATTTTTGTCATTTGCATACCGTTGAACCCTCCAGCATTTTGTCAACTTCTTTTGAGAGGCCGCTTTCTGCAGAGGCATAAAGGGGAATAATACAACGACCAAAAAAAAAAAGAGAGAGAGAAACCGTTTCTCCATCCTGCACATTCCTCTTGGAGATATGCTGTAGATCCCTCCCCAAGTTTTTCTCTCTCTCCTTTGTCCGGGTCTGAGGTGTGAGCCTTACTGATTGTGGTCCCAAACTGTTCTGTACTGTCTTACATTGAGCTTCTGTAACCTCCTGCTATCTCCTGTTGTGAAGATGCTCCGGTACACCACCACAATGACCTTGAAAGAGCAGGTGCTGGAGGAAAAAGAAAAAATGCAGGAATTCAGATAACAGCAAGCAGTCCGGAATAACTAGAAGCAGAAGCCGACTGCGGATGCGTGTACAGATGGATTAATGTCTTTTGTGGATGTATTTCTAGAAGTGGGAGGACTCCCACCATAGGCTTGGTTGTACTTTTGTATTTTTTTCTTCTTTTGGGGGGTTGAGAACATTTAATTATATCATTTATACATAAAAGAGACAGTGTTGTCAACCTGTGGGTGGAATTAGTTAGATTTACATTGTTTGATTTCTGCATAACCCACGTCAAAAAATTTCAGGTCGTGCATAAGCACTGGAGTGGGTTCTGACGCCAGCAGCATGAAATGCTGGAAAATCTTCATTCATTATGAGGTTGGAATTAAATTAAACTCCGTCCTGGTTGCGACGAAAACGAATGAAAGCAACAGAAATCAAACAGTTGGAAATAGCTGAAGCGTTTGGGGAACTGATAAATTGGGAATGAAAGGAATGATTGGCGATTAAACCTCATGCGGGATGAGGATGAGAACTTTTCACTTTCGCTTTGTCCTATTTTCGTGCACGAGCACGATTGGATTAGGTTTGTGTGATCTTCACGCAAGTGTGTGTGTGTGAGAGAGAGATTAAATCTGGTTAGGGCCCTTCTGTGGTGCCATGTGTTTTAATGGCGAGATCTGAGAGTGTCCGCTTTTGATCCCGCTCTGTGGGAGTTTTCCATGATCTGTGGATGTGAGCTGGATGTCCCTGCTTGGGGGCAGGCGTCTGGCTCCAGCTGCGTCTCAGGTGGGCCGAGTGTGTTACGCTGTTGGCCGGGGTTGCGGGAGGTGGAACCGTGTTGGAACATGAGCTGATAAGACGTGTGTGTGTGTGTGTGTGTGGTAGAGGGGTGCGGGGTGGGTGGGGTAAGGTTGTTTCAAAAGGCAAGGACATGTACTTAACGCGAGACGGGAGACACGCTCTGACGGATCGGAGGCGAGAAATGTTTGCTTTTGTGCGTTTGTTTATCCGCTCCCATGTGTGGGCGGCAGCCTTGTTGATATCTCAGGTTGCAGGGCTCCGTTCACAGCCGCCCCAAAACAAACAAAAAAAAGTCAAATCGGTGCGTGACAGCTGCCGTCGGTTAACGTCGTAATTCTATGAGCGGGAATTATGACCAGTCTTTTAAAGCATGTAATTACAGTTTGGTTTGTTTCGCAAGCATACACTGCAGTGGCACATGTGCGGCGCATGTGATCTGGCAACTGCCGCATCTAGATGATGATGAAGGCTGCTGCTTTTATCCCTCTCGCTGAAAAGATGTGTGGGCTGGCAGGTGGAATGAAAAAGGGAATTAAAAAGAAAAAACTCGCAAGAACAAGTATAAACCTCTTCTCGTATCTCTCTTCTCTCCCTCCTCCTTCTTTGCAGGCACCACTAGTCGACGCTGCTCACTGGATCACCGCGGGGTGGCCTATTGGGAGCAACCCAGCTACGCTCGATGCATTGCAAATGAATACAGATACTTGCAGCAATCAGTAGGTGCAAAGTCAGCTTCCTGCGCTCTGCTTCTGTTTGTGACGTGCCATAAATTATCCCTGCATTCGTCACGATCACCCAAAACTATTTCCACCAGTGCTTCCCCCCACAGTGCAGCGCCCCGGACCACCACGCTAGGTCTGCAAGATAAACTGCTATCATCTGAGAGGCAAATTAAAACCGCCAATTTTGCAGTTTTCCGAGCTCCCACGTTAATAGAGGACTCGCTCTAATTTCCTTTAACGTCCTGAAGATGGTTGTTGATTTTTCTGGGAATGCACCTGCTTGTACACAAATTAATGATTTTTATCTGAGTCTTTCTCAAACGCAGCACATCTCACACACATAGGCTTTTTATTATAGTCGGTTTTATACTGAGGTTATGATACTTTCCATTCCCTAGATCTCACACCGTTTTGCCTTTTTAAATATTAATCAAGGCACTTTTTATTATTTTGTATTAAGGCACTTCCCATGCGGGGTCTGCTGTCTGGTCAGGGTTTACTATCCTGTTGGGGGTTTTTGGTATTTGGTCAGTGTAGGCAAAACCTCACCCACAAGTACACGCAAACGTGTTTTTATAACTTTATGTTGACTTTCCATTGATGTAGTGATTTTTAGACGGTTAAAACTGTATGTTAAATCCCACTACACTAACCCTACCACTAAACTCTTCATTGTGTATGACATCATGTCAGTGCGATTTATGCATGTTTCTTCATTGGCCTGTTGCTTTGCTTTGTGTTGAAATGTGTCATTTTTTTTTTTTAGATGGTCTTATCCCAGTTTAATATTTGGGGCAGATATACACTGCTGTTCAAACGTTTGGGGTCAGAAATGTGAATTATTATTAGAATTTAAAATAAGCTGTTTTCTATTTTAAAATATTAAAATGTTTTATATCTGTGAGTGATGGCAAAGCTGAATGCTCAAAAAGCATTTATTATTATCATTATCATCAATTGAAAACAGTGGTGCTGCTTAATATTTTTTTGGAAACATGATACAGTACATTGTTTTTGGATGCTTTGATGAATAAAAAGTTCAAAAGAACAGCATTTATTTAAAATATAAAATCTTTTGTAACAAATATACTGGATTTGTAATCTTCTGTATCCTTAATATATTTAATTATTTTTATTTCACTTTTTTCAGTGTAGCACTTAAACGCCCAAACTTTTGAATGGTAGCTTTTGATGGGATAAGTATAAGTACTTATACAGTACTTTAGCTTGGAGTTTGAACAATTTTGAAACCTCAAGTTGCTCTGGTTGTTGAGGAAAGGTGTTATTTGTGGAGCGCTATTTTTTGCCCAGATGTTTCCCTACTAGGCTAGCGATTGACAAAATGGTGGAAAATGTTCCAAAAACCATTTAGAACACCCTAGCAACTGCATAGCAACCAGTGTTGGATAAGCTACTCTAAAAAATAATTAACTACTAGCTACTAATTATCTTCAACAGATTACTGTACTAATTACTTTCTAAATCCCATATCAACCTCGAACATTTGAACAATACAAGGATAAACGTGAAACTGCACTTTAAATTCTTTCAAATAAACAATATACAATTGTATAAATTATTATTTAACTAGCCAAAAAAGGGAGAAGATTATACTAAAAAAATTCATTTTAAAATTAGGCATTAAATTAAGACGTTAAATCCACTATTGTTTTAAATAGAGTATTTAATTACATAAGAAGTAGCTACTGTATAATCGAATTACAGAAATATAAATATTGATTAGTAATGTTTCTTTTTCATATTAGTATTTATTAGTAACGAGTTTACTTAGTAATGAGTTACACCCAACACTGATAGCAACCGACCAAAACCACCTAGAACACCTTATCAACCTCATAGCAACAAGCCAAAAACATTTTGAACACCTTAGCAACCCCAAAGCAACAGGCTAAAACCATTTATAAAACCTTATCAACCTCATAGCAACAGGCCAAAACATTTTGAACACCTTAGCAACCCCAAAGCAACAAGCTAAAACAATTTATAACACCTTATCAACATCATAGCAACAGGCCAAAAACATTTTGAACATCTTATCAACCTCATAGCAGCAGCCTAAAACCATTTAGAACACCTTAGCAACCCCATAGAAACTAAGCTAAACTAGGCCAAAAACACTAAAACACACAGTGCTTCAGAAACATTATATAGCCAATCCTTAAATGACACCCTTCACCTTTAAATACTATAGTTCTGTGAACTCTATCTTCAATCATGTTTGTGACTTGTGCAGGACTCTGTTAGTGTTGCAGTCTTTGAAGGACACACAGAACCCAGTCTCTTTCCCTGTGTCTGTCTTCAGGTTCAGGGACACCTTGCTAAAGGTCAGAGGAATCTGGCAGGGGACGGCATGTCCCAAGTTACAAAGGTCCTCCTGGATCTCACCCAGAGACGCAATTTCTATGCAGGCGACCTTCTCTCCTCAGTGGAGATTCTTCGAAACGTCACTGACACCTTCAAAAGGGCCAGCTATGAACCTTCTTCTGATGACGTTCAGGTAAGAGAGAAAACAATGTTTGTATGTTTTTGACAACTTTGATTTAGACGTTGTGGTTATCTTAGGTCTTGAATTTTGGTAATGCAGGTTGAAAGTACTGATACTATTTATAAAATTTCCAGATGTTCTAGCTACATGACTACAAGCAACAATCAACATATACTAACATATACTACATATACTAAAGTTACACAAAACAGTGTTCCCATTCGCCATCTCTCAGTCGGACAGCTGCCTTCTAAAACCAGTATACTGATTTTACACTTTGAACAACTTAGAACGTCACTGGAGAATGACATATAGTTCCTCATAAATTTAAAATAAACAACCCGTTCTCATCCCAAGGCGTCACTAACGCTTTTGACAATTCATATCCGACACACATGGCACCCTTTAGCGTCAATATGAGACGCAGATGTATATATATAGGCCAGAAGGCGCCTCCTAGTGGTCTAACCCTAACCCTACCCCAGACCTAAACCTACCCATAACCAAAGCGTTTTATATTGACGCTAAAGGGTGCCATGTGTGTGGAATGTCTACTCATTGTCAAAAGCATCACTATATGACGCCCTAGGATGAGAATGCGTTGAAATACATTACTTCTATACTGCTAAATGTCAACGCATTTTCACCCCAAGGCGTCACCTTTGACCATGCTTCAATATTTGACGTTTTAGGCGCCCTTTTTAGGCGCCCGTTTTAGGCGCCACTTACATTACATGACGAGATCCTACGGCGTCATCTAACTGACGCTAAAGGAAAGCGTCAGTTAGAGGACGCGGTTAGGTTTAGGTGTGGGGTGGGGGTAGGGTACACGCGATCCTAGGGCGTCATCTTACTGACGCTAAAGGGCGCCTAAAGCGTCAGATATTGAAGCATGTCCAAATGCGTCCCAAGGCGTCAGTTAAGTGACGCCTTGGGGGTGAGAATGGGCTGTAAATGTACCTGATTTTTCATATCAACAGAAAAATATACCAAGGTAACCTGACTTCTCTTGAGACTCCCCTGCTTCGCACCATAGTTAATGATATGCTAAAGCCTGCCCCCCTTGTGACATGATTAGTTACAACTTATTTGTGATGTGGAGAACTGCGATTTCAAACCACATCTTTTTATTTTTTACTGCAGATTTAAGGAGGAAATACTCAGCAATGCATTCACATCAAAAATAACAAATCTAAAACAACATTAAAAACTTGATTATTAATATTAAATGTAAAAAAAAAATAAGCAATATTTATATTTAAAGTAAAGATATTTATAAAGTTAAAAGGTTTATGTTTGGACCTTCTATTCAACAAATAATCCTAAAATAAAGTATCATAGTTTACAACACAACTATTTTCAACCTTGATAATAATAATTAAAAAGAATCACCAATTAGAATGATTTCTGAAGGATCATGTGACACTGAAGACTGGAGTACGGATGCTTAAAACTCAGCTTTGTCATCACAAGAATATTTTTTTTATTTATAATATTGCAATATAAACCAATTATTTAAAATATTAATAATATTTCACAATCTTGCTGTTTTTTACTGTATTTTTTTAAACAAATATTTGTGCCCTTATATTTATAGTTTTCAAAATTAGTCTCATTTATGATTGTCTCATAAATACTTGCCTCCAGCACTCCATTCACATGTTTCTGAAGGGGGACGTTTTACTCAAGACACTCCAGTTGAGATGAATGGGAATGCTGACAGCTCTCTCCAGATATTATATGCGTTTGGTAGAAGTTCGCGAAATGGCGGAAGTTACTGAAAAGTCTTAAATCACACACAGCACCTTCAAAATGGCAATGTCACTACTTGGGACCGTGACTGATAAATATCTCGCCGGTCTTGCCCCTCTCAGAGAGCTTATGGGATTGTGACACCTTGCGCCAGCTGCTGATAAGAGATAGTCACTACGTCTATCTCCTTCTATCTCAAAGCCTTATCACAACCTTCCCAATACCAGAATAAACCGATTTCTCATGACCTGTTTGTGAGAATCTGGGTATTTCTTTTACATAATACGGAGTGTGTATGTTTGTGTGTTGGGTTGGTGTGGGAGGTTTTATCCAAGGCATGATGTGAACCGGAACAACCCCTCCTCCCCACGCACGTGTGCCGGGGTGGGTTGTGTGTTTTGGAACGTATTAATGCTGTGTTTAAGAGGACGCATTACCACCAGAGGGAGCATAAGCATTCAAGTAGAAAAACAAGCGTGCCGGAGCCAAAGACACTGCATTTCTCCTGCCTTTCGTTGCAAAGAGGCAGAGAAGCAAACAGAAAAGTAGACAGGCACACGTCCAGTTGGATATCTCATTCAGCCCAGTCACCGCAGCAAACATCAGCTCTCTTTCCAGTCTTAGAGTAGACGGCTCTCCCAGGCTCCTTCAAACTCGATCCTTCCCCTTTAATTCAGTGCACACACGAGTGCTTAGAAAAAGATCAACAATCCCTGAATTGAAAGCAGCAGGAAATCCCAGGTGTGTTTTAGAGCCGAGGCTGCTGGACATATCCCATCATCTCCCTGTAAATCAGCGCTGTGTAATTCCTCTAGACACTGTTTGTTGAGACTTTTAAAATGCAGAGGAGATTCTTTTTTATTGCCTTTTCAGGGAACGGGTGTATTTTTTTGACAAACATTCCAGATATGAACTAGTTCTGGTTTGCTTTTTCAAGGACTATATAAAATCAATTGAATATACTTGTATTGCCTATATATATTTAAGGAATAGGTACAAAAATGCATTTTTTTTATAAATTCAGTCACAGCCAAACTGTTATAAGAGCACAAGTCCTCATTAAGTACATTGTTGATTTTCTTAATGCTTCATAAAAAAATAAGAGGACAGTTTTCATTGCAAAATTAATTATGTTTAATTATCTGTACTGTATTCTGTTGGTGTTGTACGGTGATATAAACTCATCAAAGTCAATATATTATTTAATTCACAATCACTGTAAAAAAATGTATGATCAATAAGTTATGACAACATGATTTTGCATTACTTTAACTCATTAAAATAAGTTATACAATCTTCAACTCATTTTTAAGTCAGTTTATTGTAATTTAAGTTGAAATGACTTAAACATCCAAACTGATAGTCACTGTAAAAAAAACAGGTTACCTTAAAATTTTAAGTTCATTGAAATTGAAAAATTGAGTTAATACAATGAAAGGGATTGATTTAATCATCAGAAACTCAAAATATTATGTTATCTGAACTATATAAATTACTTAAGTTGATTTGACAAAAGAAAAAAATGTTGTGATAACAAATCATGAAAATATATTTTTTACAGTGTTCTTAAAAATGAAAGGCAGCAACCTTTTTTACATAATACATACATATATATATATATATATATATATATATACACACAATTTTAAAATATTTAAAGGCATTAATAAAAATACAAATGGATTATAATGTGTTTTAAATACTGTAGGTTATTAAGTAAATAAACTTCATGTGTAATTGTGGAAATGTCAAGTTCACATAACTTAATTGTTTCAATTATGCATAAAGTTTACTCACTGTAAAAAAAATATATATATTGCTGGTTTAACTTAAAAAAATGAAGTAATCTGGTTGCCTTCAAATTTTAAGTTTGTTGAACGGGAAAAATTGAGTTAATATAATGAAGAAGATTAATTTAAGCATTAAAAACTCAAAATATTATGTTATTTGAACTACATAAATTATTTAAGTTGTTTTGACAAAAGAAAAAAATGTTGTGATTCCAAATCATGAACATATTTTTGACAGTGCTTTTAATTTTAAGGCAACTTAAGGAGGCTTAAGGAGGTTTCCTCACTTTTACGGTGTAACCTGCATTATAATCCATATTTATCGTTTATCACCCGGTGGATTAAAAGAAGTGTCTTACTCAGTTGTTTACTCATATATAAATGTCTATGCGTTTCATAGTGCATACAAATTAAGCATATTAAACTTTCAAAGCATAATGACTGAAATGAGATCCTTTACAAATAAAGTTACCAGTCTTGTCCAGTGACAGCAGCGTTGTGCTAACAACAATTTCTTCTCTCCCCAGAATTTTTTTCAGATCATCAGCAATCTCCTGGAAGAGGAGAACCGAGAAAAGTGGGAAGACGCGCAACAGGTGGGTCTGAACACTGTGAGTGTGTGTTTTTGAAGCATTGGTGTCGAGATTGCTTTATTAAAGTCACGTCGCGGAGAGAATCTGCTGTTGTGTGTCACTCTGCGGCTGTATATTGCGTGATGAGCCCTCAGTGAATTGATTGCCATCACCAGTGCAGATGCTTTAGGTAATTGTCAGGTCAAAGAGGTGCCTGTCTCCACAGGCTGGGCTGCGTCAAATCAAACCTTCTCTGCCAAACGCCGACCCCCCTGCTGTGCTGATTGGTGGAAAGGCATCTGCAATATCCACTACATGCACTTGGTGGCAGCAGCATTGGCAGCACATGTCCAGCCTTCATGCTTTCCCTCAGCGGTCTCCATTGTCTCTCCTCTCACTCTCTGAGAGACAGTGTAAAAGCAGCCGGAGGGATTTGGATTGTGTTAAGCTGGATGTTCTTCAGAAACTCAGACAAAAAATTCCCACTGCATTATTATTGCTTTGGAGCAAATTGAGTGTCTTAAATGTTTCTTTCTTTCCCTTTGGTAATTCCTCTTAAGCAGACAGTGGTAATGCTACTGTCTATCAAACGTAAGCTGCTTTGGAGCTCCTTCCTCGAACGTTTTCACCCGTAGTCTGAGAGTTGTGGCAAAACGTGTCCTTGAGTGAGACGGGGGTACCGTGTGTCAACCGAATCAGCCCTTTAATGGAGTTTGCAGTCGGGTAGTGTCACAAGGCTTTTAAAGAAAAGTAATATGTTTATCAGTCAGGAGTGTATTCGGAGATCAGGTCACGTAGCCGGTCGCCTGCTTTGCTGAAGGGGTATAAACGGTCCCCGGAGCACACCTGTTTTCCATTCACGTTCCTCCTCTGCTTTGTCACAGATTGAATCTTCAAGCTCCTTAAATCATTAAAGGACATCTGAGACGGTTTGTCACCGGCTCTGTCAAATGACTGACCTTAGAAAGCTCTAACGTTTAAAGATCACGCAGGATTTTATCTTGTCTGTCTGTCCTGTCTTTTCTTCTTTAGAGTCTGCTTGCCCGAGCTTTGATTGGCTGTCTAGAGTTCACACGGTCTCAGATTCATGGCAGTGTGTGCGCCGTTAGAGCAGAGAGGGAACCGTTTTAAAGGAAGTGCTTAAGAGAAGAGGCTGTTACTCGCAAATTCACAACTTGAAATGAAGGAGAATACAAGGTTCATTAGTTTCATTAACTGATGGTTTAAAGATGTACTGTCTGCTTATAGATAGTACTGGCGTGTCTTCCATCATGAACCATATACAAGAAGAGTAATTCTAAAGTATTCTATTCGTAATTCTAATTCTAATCTCTTCTATTAATGTAATATTTTATTAAAATGTAGTGTATTATATTATAAAGTACATTATTATATTATATTATATTATATTATGTTATATTATATTATAAAGCGCCTGCCCTGTGTTTAGTTGCAGGGAAGCTCCCTATTTATCAATGTATTATTTTATTAAAATGTATTGTATTATATTATAAAGTAAATTGAATTACATTATAAATTGTATTACATTTTATTATTATATTATATTATATTATATCATAAAGCGCCTGTCCTATGTTTAGTTGCAAGGAAGCTGCCTATTATTTTATATCACTATAAACATATTTTATACATTTGACATCAAACATTATAACTTATTACACACACAAACAGAGTGAGAGTGTGTGTGTGTGTGTGAGAGAGAGAGAGAGAGAGAGAGAGAGAGAGAGAGAGATTGATTGAAAAACTCCTTTAATTCCTAATTAACATCCTAAAACATTGACATTATAACATCAATCTCACAAACACTTAAATATTATCAAAAAGATAAAACCATCTCTCCATCATCACCGACAACACAAAGAACATTTGCAACAGACCATTTTTCAACAAAGCACTGTACATTGTTTGTCAACTTGTAATTAGGGATGTCCCGATACCACTTTTTCACTTCCGATACCGATACCGATGCCGCACCTTTGGCTTTTGCCGATACCGATATTAGTCCGATATTTTTTTTTTCGTGGTCCGACGTGCCGTATACGGCCCACAGGGTGGTTTATAGGTTTAACTTTGTGAAAGACAAAACAAAACAAACACAAAAGTAAACATAATACATATCTTTGGAAAGCTGAGAAACTCGTGATTCGAACGACGTAAACCATTTTAAGATACAATCAACACAGCGGGCACAATCTGTCTCTTTGTCAGACCACCAACAGCCAAAACAAACCAACACAAACTGGAAGAAACTCACCAATTAGCCATCTGTTAGTCCACATTCCAACAAAAATGGTTTGGTTTCACTGTAAAGCGTCCATACAATCCAATTTGAAGAAGTTTTTAGTCCAAAACAATTGTATATATGAATAAACATCCATGGAATGTAAATAGTAGCATTTCGCGTTAGCCGACAGCGCTATCACAACTTCGACGCACTAATGCTACGTTCACACCGGACGCGAATAGGGCGTCAGGCGCGAATGATTTCAATGTTAAGTCAATGCAAAGACGCTTTACGCGCGTGAAAAATTCCTGCGGCGCGAATGAGGCGTGGAGCGCGGCGCGGAAGACGCGAATACGCCTCATTCGCGCGTCAAGTTGGCGCGAATGGCGCGAATTGAGCGTTGTGCATTCACGCGTTTGACGCGAATTCGCGTCTGCCGCCCGAGTTGAAAAATCTGAACTTTGGCGTGAATTCGCGCCGCGTTAACCAATCAGGAGCCTAGCTGCTTGCTCACGTGGTGAAGTGTCTGGATGCTTCAATAAATTGTTTTGTTAATATGACTAAATGCATGGTGGGATTATGCACAACAAAGCAAATGTTTCATCACTTAAAACATTATTTCTATATGGAGACATGTTCATTTTGTATTGAATGTTATTCATTCCATATCTAGAAATAGTATTATGTTGTAAAGACAATCAACATATGTGCATAAATTCGTGTCTGGACGTGAGAGAGAGAAAAAAAAAATCACAGGACAGGTTAATAACTTTTGAAGGCTGGCTCTATTTATTATCAAAACAAAAATAAATGACAGCTAGATTAGATGGATGAGGGGCCGGGCGAGGGTGATCCTCGCTCAGATGCGGGACAACAGGTCATCAAACTGGGCGCGTGACAGGCGGAAGTACCGCTGACAGCGGCCGTCATCCAGCGCAGCTCCTGGAGCGAGCGAATGGTGAAACTCGCCAAACGGTTCGGCTCCGAAGGGTCCGGTGGACACAAATATACGGCGACGATGATCCCCACGCCGCTGTTCTGCTATCCAGAGTAAATACAGAGCGGTAACTCTCTTGATGAATGCTCGGTCGACATAAAAACAATGACCGCCAACGGATTTTGATTCTGACGCGCGTAAATTTCGCTTCAAACTTTACGCGCGCCAGTTTCGCTCTTGACACGCGAATTAACACTAGTGGTCAAGCGTCAAACTAGACGCGTCAGGCGCGAATTTGACGCGCGATTCGCGTCCGGTGTGAACGTAGCACTATTGATCCGTCTACAGTTGAAACGTAAACATTGGAGAAAAAAGAATGTCAAAATGGCCGCTGACCCATGAACTATTGATTGACAGGTCATTTTAGCCAATCGGCGAGTGTTAGGGGTGTCTTCTAAACTCCAACAGCCAACGAGCGTGCCTGGTGAAGATCGGTACCTACCTCTCTTTGAGTGACAGTTTATCTATCCAGTTGCAATAGAGAATGAAATGACGCTATTTTCTGATAGCCAATGAATTTCTGAAAAGACTGAAATGCAGCTTTTGTTCCGTGCGCAGAGCGAGAGTGATTCTCTGCGTGCGTGTGCGTAAACACAACAATCATCACGTGACAGGCTGCGCCGCTAAACTGGATATCGCTCATATTTTTTTCTCCCCTCCGATCTCCGATCTAGCGTTCTGGGCCGGTATCGGCGCGATACCGATGCCGTGGATCGGATCGGGACATCCCTACTTGTAATAAGCATATTAAATTCTAAGACGGGATGCTAATAGGCCTAAAAAGACCCCATTGACTTCATTTGACCCTTTTTTCTTAATCATATGTTTCCTTGAAATCCATATGGAAAGTTTAGCCACTCCAAACACATAATTCATCAAAACATGTTTTTGTTTTTTCTTTGCAGAATACTTTGGTCCAAAAATAAACAAAGAAAATGAAAAACATTCTCCCCAAAGTAAACACCACTGTTCCAATAAATGAAACAACTCTCCTAACCTGCAGCATTCACAAAACAAATGAACCAAAGTTTCATTCTGGGTACAAAAAGGACATTCCACCCCTTGACTAGGATCTAAATGGGCAACATGTTTATTAGTGGCTATAGCCCCATGAGTTATTCTCCATTGGAGATCTCCCGTCCTCTTATCAATTGGTAATTTATACAAATATCTCAAACAGCCTTTCACAGACTGATCAGGGCCAAAATAATCAAACCAATGGTCTCATGTAAAACATGTTTACACACAGGATATACATTTGTTTCTTGCCCAACTCTTCAAAAGAACCTAGCTGTACAGTTGAGAATGGAAGAAAGCTATTTTCTATGCTGAGCCCCTCTTCAATTGTTAGAGAAACATCAAGTGATGGGAAAACATATTCACACCCGTCCTCCCATTGACCCAACACATCTCTTTCACTGGCAAAAGCCTTCAGTGACGGTGGTAGTGACTCACAGACCTCATCCACTATTTTTCCAATCAATCTCTCAGATCTTACATTGGCCAATCATCCTAGTTCAACTAGAGAGGCATTCATGGCTCTAAAGAGATGTCCCAGCTTTGTGCATCCAGCCTCTCTCAGTGCTGATCGTAGACTGGAAGACTTTAATGACCTTACATTAGAGGCTACAGTAGAGGCTCTTCAAAGATCCACATTCCAGGCAATGCAGTTGAATCTCTTGTAGTTTTCAAAATGTGAAATGCATTTAAAACTGAATAATAGAAGGATGTTAATTCCCCAAAATCTACTTCTTCAGTTTTTAACAAAAAAAAAGTTGCTTA